TTAACTGGATTTTGTGGCTTTCTATCGCTGAATTGAATTCCAGTCTCCGCCAATAATATTTTTGTTCATATATAAGCCCAGCATACTCAATACATGATCCTGACCTGGGTTGTCCATGTGCGCATGTTTATATCGCGCCTGAGTGGAGAGAGAGCACTGTATGCAGTTCAATCACCTTTTACTATGCATTTTAAGATTATTCGTAGGCGCACGCGCAGCAACATCCCACACAAACCACTTTATCCCTTAACATTTTGTACTAGGCAAAGGTCGGGCGGACCTCTCTTAAGAAACCTGGTAAGATAGATGTGGCAGAGAGTGTGTTTGTGTGTTACTTTCTCTTTGTTGTTTCACTGTCCTTTATCAGACCTAAACGAGTACAACCCTTCAAAAGGTACAAAGGATACAGACACAAGTTGAAAATACATACACATTCAATATCCGCATATATCTAATAAAATGCGATTACTTTTTATTTTATCCAACTCCATTTACTTTTACACTAACAGATACATTACTGACTGTGTTTGTACTGACAGTCTATGAGCCATTGTTACACCAATGCCGCTAAGACTAGCCCGATTTTTCACTGTCCAACTGACTACAAGACTTAGTAACGACCTCTAGGAGCATGATTTACAGTGTTTCCCTGTTGTGTTCTATTCCGCAAATGGCAAACCCAAGTATTTTAATTCTGATCAGCATCGATTTATGTGGTATACCGAATCTGATGTGATTGCGGATTTAAAATGATAAGATATTTTACGAATATTTTTGTTTAAAACGCTACTCTTCATTTGATAACACCTGGTCATATTGTTATCATATTGAGCCTGAAACATATTAGAGGCGGGCAATCATTTCTTTGATTCAAAAAGTTGTTTAATACCCTTAGGACATGGGTACGGTGCCCCGAGTGGGGAATTCGACTGACAGTTTGAATAAAACGCTACTCTTTTCTAATACCTGAGCGGATTTCAAACACATTCAATCGGAATAATAATTTCGTCGATTCAGAAAGTTTAGACTCAAATTTTGGTTTAAAACGGCATTCTTCTCTACCGTCTGATCATATTTTTGTCGCAACTGAAACATCATTAAGGGTTGGGCATCATTTTTTAATTACAGCAATTGGATTGTAGACTAGATAACGAGGTCCCGAATTGAGAGGAATTTTGCTGCAATCATCATTTATATGTTTGATCACTATGTATATTCTGAATAATTAACCGTGAAAATTTTAATAGTTAATATTAAAAGCAAGCTGTTGTTTGTCTCATTTGTTGAATATGAAGCAATGTATCTCGATTAGATTAATAACTGTATAGATAACACACAATCAAACAAAATATCAATAATGCCGAATGATTTCGAAATAATCTGTTTTCGACATCGAGTCAGCAAATAGAATAGATTTGCTTTTCAGATAAAAAATCGTTCGCTCATAAAAAACAGATAAATTTCCATTGAACGAGATCCCTTCCCACTATGAGCTATACTCGGTGGTAACACTTGAAGCTATGATACATACATCGGTAAAATATTTTAATATTCCTTATAGACACTACGAGAGAGAAGTATTATCGATGGGATTTAGTATATTATCTTTCTATTTGACAACGGCTACAAACGAACTCCCCTCCTCCATACATAACAAAACGTCACAGCACACAGCACATACAACACTAACAACATGTGTCGAACAAGACTTATGCTATGCTCGCGAAATGCTTTAATTATTCACAATAAAATACTTGGTCATGGTAATTTTGAAGACTGCATTGAAATTTAACTCTACCACCTCTGACTTATAATTTTACGCACAAATTATTATTTAGAACGTAGCGTGCAATTTTCTGCAAACATCCTTTCAGGGACACGTCAGTGAAGCTACTTCGTACAACTGTTTCATCATTAAATGACTTGTCAATGATTCCATAAATATTCAATATCAGAATTCTACAAATTCTTCGGAGCAAATTTGTTTTTATGTCTCTGAGCCATGCCACATCGGATAGATATATTGACATATGTGACACTTTAAAATTTATCATAGTTCTTTCTCAAATCATTTCATCATTAGTGTTTTTCGGTGTTTACTGCAACACATAAAGAGTTCATGTAAAATCGTGTTAGCAATTTACAACATTTCTTCGTGTTAAAGTTGAATTAACTTATTTTACATGATAATGGTTCCTTTATGACTGGTTCTGCCAGATTTAATTTTACGATGTATTGGAAGGTGCTTTGGAGCATGGAGACCATTCACCACTGTAAGGTTTTACTCAAGTACAATTTATTATCGGTATATTGATTCCAATGTGTAACCATGGACGCGGCAACCTTATCATTATCTTTTTAATAACCAAAATATCAATGTAGAAGTGTTTAATATTGCAAGCTTCTACATGTGTGGAACATCCACATACAGTACATAGTTTGTCTACTCAAAAGTAAAACAATTCTGAATTGAAATTGTAAAAAGTAATTTTGTATATATGTAGCACTTTAATTTAACCTTTGTATTGGAAGTGCTTTGGAGCATATCACATAAATAGCTAAAAAGATCTGATGTCGAACACACGATGGAAGATTCCCAGCGTATATTGATTCCTTGTGACGCCACAGATGTGGGCTACCATATCATTATCTTTTGAATAATCAAAATATCATGTTTACATGTGTGTTGGACATCCACATATGAAGTATTTTATAGCTCAATGTAGCTAAGCTCAGGATACATGTTAAATACAATCTCTGTCACTCAAATGTAAGCATGCGTCTTTGGCTCAGTTGGTAGATCCTATTGATTATCACACTTGAAACCCGGGTTCAACTCCGCTTGACAGGAATATGTTTCCTCTGTTCTGTCACGATTATACCAATAGCGCATACAACGTTAAGAGTAGAAAACTGTGTTTTGTTAGCTTGTCGTTGATCTTTAAGATATTTAACATTATAATAGTTCCTACATGGTACAATAACGTTCGCCACTTCAGTAATAATATAACATATCCAGGGATAAAGTAGGCGGTCGTGATAAGTATATTTTGCATAGTCGTTCTGATCGACGAGTCGGGTGCGTTGTCAACTGAACTGAGGTAAGCTATTATCACATTTGGTAATACGGTAATTAAGCATCAGTTACTGGCTATGTATTGAAGCTTATTCATTAGCGTCAAATGTGTATTTTTTCTGGTACTATGTATGTGCAACTGTGTTGTGAACTAAACTGAACATGTCTTATTTCAATTTCGAGATATATCATCATCGTTACAAAACCTCCAATGTTAAAAAGGTTTTAAGATGTCATTGAGATACTACGACACTCTCCACATATATCTTTTTGTTTTCCAACATACTCTATATTTTCTATATGTATCACGTAGATGACTTCATTTTTATATTAATAATGAATTTGTGCTTGAAATGTAAATTCTTCACGTTTCGTTGTAATATAACAGAATTCGAGGAATATTTTTTGTACACTGGATCATATTCAAGCTGACGGGCTTTGTTCCAGAGTAACTAAAATCTATTTTGATAATCAATGAGTGATGATACATTTCCTGCATAGAAAGATTCACCGCAGATGTGATATTTTCACCGGAGACGGAACCGTGCTCCAACAATAAAATTGTGTTATCTGATTAATTGGATCAAGGTACTTCATACATGAGTTACAAACTAATGTATAACGGTATCCTAACATATTGATCGAGAAAGGTTGATCACTTTAACCAAAATAGCACATCACGTTCCTCTCGATGGTTTGTGATTTGTGTTGTAAAATCATTTAGGCTTTCGATGTTGTTTAGCTCGACAAATAACACTCGGCACTGAAATGTTGACCAGTTCGTCATGCCATATTTGATATTCGTAATTCGAAGGTTCCATAGCTTGATATGCGACATACCAACATGTCAACATAATCATGATCTTAACTTGAAATCCATGAAACTTTGGCAAAACGTGAACAAAAGAACGATTTACACGAAGACTCTTGAAAAATTACAAGGAGAATAAGACCAGGTGTTCCGAAAGAGTAAGCGCCTTCTACTTTATCGAAAGCCATTCTTTCTGGTAGAAATATAGAAGTCATAAGAGTCCAACATTATCGCTAAGGAAAATCTCCTGAATACTTTCAGCGACAAAAAGGAATCGCATTTAAGATCTTGCCCAAACTCTCTACCTCCATCTTTCTGTGACACACTGTTCATACCGCTTAGAATCATCTTCCTCCAAAGATATTTCTGGCCAAATTTAGTCAAAAGTCGTTGTGTCGTTCATCACTTGTATTTCCGGAATTAGAACTTATATTCACAAACAAAATGATACCAAAGTCACATCATTGCAATGCTTTTAAATAATGCTGAGCAATTTGTGTTATCTCCCTTTACATAGCATATACAGTCAATCAATTTATTTATTTTTACAAGTCTATTTCAAAATAATTCTTGATAGTTGAGTCAATGCTGTAAGTAAACATGTATTCTGAAACACATGAAAAGTGTCAAGAAGCTTTATTTGAAGTCGCATATGGTAAACAATAAATATCAGCATTGTAGTACTATAATTGTGACAAACATAAGTATAAAACATTGCATTATATACATAACAATGGTGTTCATTACTTAATATTAAAGTTCCATACGATCACTGACAAGAACATATTGCAGCTCCAATTAACAAACATCCAACGACCGGACATCACTTCATATAAATATAATTAATTTTCCGTTGTTTGCAAGCAAAAAGCACTAGCAGTAAACAAATAAAATATAAACATGTGGGGTAAATAATTACAATTTAGTCAGTATTAAACTTCAACCGTGTAACAAGTTTTATTTGTAAACATATGAAGGATTGATTTTCCCTGATTGTTAAATCAGTTTACACTCCAAACAACGATGTAATCTTGAAAAGAAAAATAACATCGTGAGAAAGCAATAGTGTGCTTGAATCAGTGAAATTCAAATGAAATAATTATTTTCGTCGAATTAGTTCATAGGCCTGAAGCTTTCTAATCTGCATGATGTATCACCTCGGTTTGGGAACGTATCGCCTTCTGATATTTTTGAATTGTCGCTCACAAATTTAGGCCGGCTCTTAGTTTTGTTCCAATGCACTATATTTGCCGTTGCAAAGATGAGAGCTCCGCCGGTCGTACAAAGTCCTCCAAAATAAAACCCGCCACTGACAGTATCATTGATATCTGTGATGTAACCTGTAGTTGAATTTGAAATAAACGTATAAGGGCTGACATTTAGGAAATAATAGTGCGTGAGAGCGTGACATAAACAGATATATTGAAAGTGAATAAATGACACAGACAATGTGTTTAATATAAAAGCTGGGTAAGATATCTAAAACATTACATGCTGTATTTTCTAAACTTTTGTAATTAACAGCGTATCAAACCTATCTTATTGGACCAAAAAAGATAACTATACAAGACTTGTTTAATATACCTGCAATTATGGGACCAACACATGATCCAACTCCTTGGAAAAACAGCAATATCCCTAAAGCATTGACCATATTCTCCGAGCCAATGATATCGACAAGAATGACATGTTTTTGTGAAAGAACGCTTCCCATCAAAACTCCGTGTGTTGAACATAGTACAAACATTTCAGTCAATGTTGAAATAGTAACAGGAAGAATACATAATATCATTCCAACAGACAGAAGTATTACATTATACACAAAGATTTTATATTGTGCCAGAAATCGCATATCGAAAAACGCCCCTGAAAATATACGACCTATTCCGATAGAAAGAGTTGTTGCAGAAACAACATAGATAGAGTTCCGATCCGTAATGCCCATCTCTCTTCCAAACAACGGAATAAATGCAAATATCGACTGAGTTGAAACAGAGAAAAGGGCAATCGCAATGCAATACGACAAAAATCTATAATCCGCCATTAACGTTTTAATGTTTGAATGACTACAGCATCTCCTGCAAGAATATGTTTTGTTACAGCATTCTTTATCGACCTGGCCACTTTCGATTGAGTGTTTTGGATTTGCTGTTTGCTGACTCTTCCTAAAATAAAAGAAAATACAAATATAGACAAAATATCTAATGCTTAATAGACTACAGCTAAGAGTAATTAAGCATAGAGAACATATACTGGAAATTATCATAAAGTAAAAGTTTTGGTACTAGAAGGCCTTTTATTCTATTGTTATCATCATAATAGGGTTGTACACGCCTAAGGCGTATTACAGCTTATAACACAATAAGACACTTTTTCATTATACAAAGTTATACAATGAGATGTACAAATACGCACTGGAGATAATGCTTTATCCAAAGTTTCATTAGTCTCATTAATCTGCTCATGAAGTACGTTATTGCAGTATCATTCTTATGGTGATAGACTGTTCACAATGGCCGTTTACAGTCCTGTACACAGACTGACATATCAGGTGCTATTCTAGAGGATAGTAAATTAGATTTTGGAAACCATTATACGTGCAATACTAAAATACTTTCATACTTAGGGCGTCGGTGTTGAGGTACCTTTTGCTGTTGATGTCGATAAGAAGAGGTCTGAAAAGGGATCCACATACAATGATATGTAACACTACTCCTGATTGTATTAGAAAGGCTCCGAGGAATCCGTAATACTCGAACAGAAAATTGATTGCAGCAGGAACAATGAAGGCCCAAACTGCCCACCCCGCTAGAGCATTGGCCAATCCACGTCTTTTGCTAAAGTACTGATTGACAATAATAACGGCCGAAGAATGGACGAGGCACATACCCATACCTGTAAAAGAAAACACAACATTGAATTATTTATTTTAACAAAACAAATACACTGTAAATGCATCGCTGTGCATCATCTGTGGCACTCTCTAGAGTTTCAGAATTAATATCGAACATATCATTTTATGTAGCTACGTCTAGAAACATTATGTGTACCGTCAAAGTTATTTCATGTATACGAAACTGACTCAACAAATGTAAAACATTACCTGTAGAGATTTGAGTTAAATACAGTGATTTATTTAAAGACAAATCAATATATTAGCAATTTCACTATAAACTGTCATTGTAGATACTAGAAATTCTACTGTTAACAAGAAAATAACGCTCAGTTAACACAATCTTAATGTAGACTTGGA